GGGGCTGTGCATGTGTATGCATACACAAGTAAGCATGTGTAGTAAGGAGTCTTATCTCTGTGTATATGTGAGTAAGGGACATGTGTTTTTGCGCAAACCCTACCTGTGTGCCTGACTGTGATGTGATGGTGTTTCCCTAAAGGCAGATATCAGCTTTTGCTCCCAGCCCAGGGCCACCATTCCCCCAAGCTCCTGTGACAACTGCCCTCAGTCTCTCTCCAGCAACAATAGTCACAGAGACTAGCCTTGCAGCCAGCATACAGGAGGATCACATGACTGTAGCTTTACCACCCAGCCACAGTAGGGGTGACCCATGGAGTAAGTCCCCTGAAAAGAGAAGAAGACTGGTGGGACCCTGCCATACCTTGAGCCTCATCCATCCTCCAATGTATGCTTAGGTTTGGAGGGACTGCTTCTCATCCTCCCAGCAAGCTAGCATCTGAGCTCCTGAAGGCCTTTACCAGCCTTTGGTACACCCAGGCACACCCAGAGCCTGGCATAGGGCAGCTTGGCTAATGTTTCCTAAATGAAGAAATAATCTAGTCTGTATGATGGTGTGCCAGGCTCCAGGCCTAAGGTATAAGTCCTACAAGACCAGACTTCCTGCCAGGTCAAGCTGGACCCTCCTGAGGTGTTTAAAGGAGGTAGGACCTTGGCCAGTGTGGCTCAGTTAGTTGAGGGTCTTACCATGCACCAAAAGATCACCAGTTTGAGTCCCATCAGAATCAAACATGCCTAGGTTATGGGCTCCATGCCCAGTTGGGGACATGCAGGAGGCAGCCGGTCGATGATTCTCTCTCATCATGGATGTTTTTATCCCTCTCCCTCTCCCTCTCCGTTCCTCTCTCTCTAAAACAAAATCAATAAAATATAAAAATTTAAAAAGATGGGGTCAACACTCTACCAGGCCTGGGATGCCATACCCACCTGACTTTCTGCAGGTTACCAACCTTGGGGTCAAACTTTTCACAAACCAATCCCCACCTCTTGGCCTTGACCTAAAATGCAAGAGGGAGGCAAGACCAAGAGATGGGGACTACTTTGTCAAAAGTTTAATCCCAAATTAAATGGCCCTGTCATTTTGCAGGCTGAGGCACAGGCAGGCCCCATCCATCTTCCCTGGAGGCCACGTCCCCTTCGTGGCAGGACCATCTCTCATCCAAACATCATCCCCTGAATATGCATTCTGAACCCTCTAGCTTCCTTCTCTACTTCCCACGGGACCACAAAACCCACAAAGGTTAGTTCTAGCTCTAGGGCTAACTGCCAGTTGCTACCCAGATAGGGGTCAGGCTGAGGTCAGTCCCAGACTGAGCCATGAAGGCAAAAACTAGGATTTATTCCTAATATAAGTCATGGGTCTCACTGAGCCATGACTCTAGTCACAGACTGAACCCTGACCCTGCTCACATGGTAGTCCTCAACCTCCTCACGTGTTAAGCCCCTACCCTGCTCACACACTGAACCTGGAAATTTATTTACTGACAGGCCATTAATTTGTTATATGGCCAAAGTTATTTCCCTGTCTCTGCACCTCAGTTTCCTCATTCTTCCACTGTCAGGCCTTGGGAGGGGTGAGCACTAAATCAGAAAATCCTTATTCAAAGGTTGCCCTATATCTCCTCTGACTGGCAACAAAGAAGAGCATCAGCTGCTGCCACTTGCCAGCCCCCTCTCCTACCCAACACTTTAGCCCAAGTATCACTAATTTTTATAGCCTTTGTAATCAATGGTATTGTTGGCAAAATGACATCTTTCTAACCTGCTGCAGATCCGATCGGTTCCCAAGCTAACTCGTTCCCTATCCAGCCTGCGCAGCCCAGGCACAATACCCCAGGCCTTGGGAGGCAGGACCTCAGGCTGAGTCAGGTATGACCTGTGGGTTTTTTGACAATCCCCTTTTAAAAATACTCAGGTGTGTGTGTGTGTGTGTGTGTCCTTTTTTTTTTTTTTATCTCTTAAAGTATTACAAAGAGTATTACATATGTCTCCTTTTTTTTTTTTTCTCCCCTTGACATTACTCCAGGCTCCCCTACCCCCAGTGTCTGATGTCCATTGGTTATGCTTATATGCATGCATACAAGTCCTTCGGTTGATCTCTTAACCCCTTTCCCGCCCCCCTGTGTGTGTACTTTTAATACTCCAAAGATATTCTCTGCTCCTTTCTGGCCGCCAAAGTTGTTCAATTGAATTTTCATTTTCTTTTTTTAATATATTTTTATTGATTTCAGAGAGGAAAGGAGAGGGAGAGAGAGATAGAAACATCAATGATGAGAATCATTGATCGGCTGCCTCTTTCATGCCCCCTACTGGGGATCAAACCCGAAACCTGGACATGTGCCCTTGACTGGAATCAAACCTGGGACCCTTCAGTCTGTAGGCCAACGCTCTATCCACTGAGCCAAAACAGCTAGAGCCAATTTTCATTTTCAATTAAAACCTGAATATTTCTCAGATTCATAAGGATGAGCCAGAAGACACATCAGAATATTGAGTGGTCCTTTCTCTTGCCTCTCAGCTCTTGGGGCAATGGATGCAGAAGAATGTGCCTCTCCCTGAGCCATGGGGTCTGGGAGATATTTTGCCTCCTCTCCTCTTCCCCCAGCCCCTCTCCCTCCATAATCCACCCTCACTCCTATCATTGGCCCCAAGCTGCAGAGCAGGGATAGAAGTCCCCCTCATACCTCCTGTGTCCAGGGAAAGGAGCAAGTCAGAATGGGGGATCCAGATACCAAGAATTAAGGAAGGACAAATACCAGCCCCAGAGACCCCAGCCTCTCCAGAGCTGGCACCTGGCTGCCAAAAGCCAAGTCAGAACCAGCAGGGGCAGTGAGCAAGGCCTGGACTCAGGAGCGAAGCAACGCCGCCCCCTCCTGGCTGGTGTGCGGCTCCTCCTCTCACCAGCACTGCTAGGCTAAGCTTTTGAGACTGGGGTCATACAAGTGACTCCAAAGACAGCATGTGACATGCAGACCCTCCTCTTAGCAGCCTGCTCAGCCCCTTTGCCTCCTCCCTAGGCTGACTGCAGCTTTCAGGTTATGCCCATCCTGCTAACTTTCTCTCTCTGCCCAAAGAATTCTGAAAATACTACATCTTATCTACTGCCCAGTGGGCAAAGCCTGAGTCCACTCCAAGCTGACTACCATCTGGTCCCATTACCAGCCAGCCTCCTGCAGCCTGGGCTTGGGCCCTCTGAGCCTCCCCAACTCCCTTTGGTCCCATCTACTTGCCTTTGCTCTTATCTTTACCACCACCAGGAATACCCTTCCTTCTACATACTGTCTCTGCTTGTTCTCCTGAGTCCTTCCCCCATGAAAACTCACCTCTCCCCCTTTCCCAACCAGAGTGACCCCTCCATCCTCTATCCCCACCCATTTTCCCTTCTCCCCTCAAAGGTACTGAGCACTGTTAGGATTCAGAGTCACACAGTTCTGGACCTAGAGGAAACTGGATCATCCTCCACGTCTTCCCCCACCCTCACTGCACAAAATGCAATCCCAAGGCCCAGAGATGGGCGGGAGCTGCACAAGACCACACAGCACGTTAGTGGCAAAGTTAGAACTAGAACTCAGCTCTCTGGAACCTCTGCCCAAGACTTCTTGAGAACATGTGGCCTCCCCTGGTGAGCCAGAACAGATCTTCTCCAAGACATTGACCTGTAATGCCTCCCAGTATCCCCACCCCTCATCCAGGGCAGGGCCCAAAGGAAGCAGTCATGAACATTTACAAAATGAAGAAATAAAAAAATAAAAATATTTATCTAATACTTTCTGTGTGCTAAACACAGCAGGCACCAGCTCTGCTACTCAAAACCTTGGTAAGTTGCTCATTTTGATATAGAAAATATCTTCTGTGGGGAGGAGTGAGTGAGTACACGAGGAGGGCCCTCAGTTGTGAATGTCAATGACCAACGGGCACAGGTAGGGTGAGTGTTTGACACCCATGGTGAAAGCAGGTGTGCGGGGCTTGTGTACTGTAACCAGCTGGACATCATGGGAACCCGGTCCAGGCTGAGGTGTATGGTCCATTGGGCAGGCAAAGCGCTTGGCCATGCTGTAGATGGGGCTGCGGTTCTGGTAGACAGATGGCTCAGGGCGGGTGTGCATGGCTGGCCCAGGACCTCCTGCCACATTCTTCTTGTAGAACCAGTTGTTGTCTGTGGAGGCCAAACTATAGCAAGGAGCAGCTCGGTTGATGGGGATGTTGGGCCCCAGGAAGAGTGGCAGCTGGTAGTGGTTGGGGGCCGGGTTGGGGTCCATTACTCTGTATGGGCACCGGTAGCCGAAAGTGTACTGCGGAGCCCTGCGTTCTCCAGAAGGGTGGGCCTTCTCCAAGCAGTAGTGGCAGGAGGCTGGGGTGGAGCTCAGGCCTGAAAGTGGGCGAAGGTGGGGAACTGAGGCCTTGATTAGCCTAATGTGACTTCACTAGAGCCACCTTAGCTTTGGACAGGGAGACTTCCAACCCTACAGGATCTATGGGCAGGTGAGGGACTTAGGCCATCCTGACATAAGAATGTGACACTATTGTCATAATATAAAAACCATGCCCTAGTCAGTGCTCAGTGGTTAGAGCATTGATTGAAGGGTTTCAGGTTCGATTCTGATCAAGGGTACATATTCAGTTACAGGCTTGATCCCCAGCCCTAGTCAGGGTGTGTGCGGGAGGCAACCAACAATGTGTCTCTCTCATATCGATGTTTCTCTCTCTGTGTCTCTCCCCCTGCCTTCGAATTTCTCTAAAAATCAATGGAGAAAAAAATATTCTCAGGTGATGATTAACAAAAAGAAAAAAAACACAAGTGTTATCAGTATGTCACCTTGGGCTGTCAGCATTCTGACATTGTCCCAATGGCAACACCAAGAAAACATCCTGAAATCACTACAGTCCATGAGCTCGTTAGCATAGCGATATTGCTGCCCCTATATGAGGCCCCTTGTATCATAACAATCACCCGACACATGCATAACATTGGCTTCACCACATAAGTACTATGACACAGACATGGTGACATCAGTGTCTTGATGTGACATTGCAGGGAGATGCCAGCATCCACAGATACACCTGGAGAGGAGAGCATTGATCCTTTGACCCCGCTCAGGTCCTAAGGGTAGACCTCCATTCTTCAACCTCCCAACCCCACTCCCCACCCCATCTTACACAGGTTAGAGATGCGTTCCGCCATGGGGATCTGCGGGCAGCTGGACAGTCCAACCCGAGTTATTTTGGGATTCAGGAAATAGCAAGGCCCAGGGTTGCATATGTCCATTATCCCTGCAAGGCAGCCACAGAGCTCAGTCAGTCACAGAGTCTGTCCCCAGGTGAGACCCTCCTCCCCAAGAAAGGAGTGAAGGGTTCCTTCTCAATTCCTCAGGTTCTTGGGTGTTTTGGGAACTTTGATTTCCTCATCTGTAAAATGGGGCTTTTAACATTCTCAAGAACTTGTCCAGAGAGACAGCTGCATAGCAGCTTAGTCCACTAGTCAGTGATGGTGCCAAGGGGTCATAATAGGCACAGTGGCTATTGTTAGTTTTAAAAAGGCGCTCAAAATAAATAAACTGATGAATAAAATAGGTCCATAGGCATGGATGCATGGGACAGACTTGAGAGGCCTCAGAGGGGAGGAGGAAAGGGAAGAGATTAACCAAAGAACATATATGCAGAGCCCATGGACACAGCCAATAGTGTGGTGAAGGCCTGGGGAGGGATGGGGACTGGGTGCAGGGAAGCAAAGGATGGGGGGATGGGGAATACAGGTAATATTGTCAATAATAAAAAGGGGCCCAGCCTCAGTTATGGGGGTACCCTGCTGAGGTGAATATGTCACCCAGGAAGGGGTCTGGCAGGCACCCTAGATCTCAGACTCCCAAATACATACTCCTGCCCAAGCTCTCTTCTTGCTGGCCTTGGCCAGCAGTTCCAGCTCTTTTGTGATCCAATGCTCCTACCCTTACAGGGGGTTCCAAGCCACCTGGAAAGCCTTGGGGGCCACCATTCCCACCACTTTCCCCCAATCTCCAGCTATTCCTGCCAAGCTGCTATGGCAAGTGAATCCATAATAGCCAGAACTGAAGGGTTCCAGCCAACGACCAGACAGAAAGGAGACCCTGCTCTGCCAGCTGGACAGTGACAGCATCCCTCTAAAGCTCCCTCGGGAGGTCCAGTTGGGAGATGCCCACAGAGTTGCCTTCAGAGGTGTGGGTCACTTGGGCATCCCCGCTGACATCCATCTGGACCTAACAGATAACCTTGGTGTCCAGTTCAGGGCAGGCCTGCATTCCCAGGGACCTGTGGCTACAGATAATGGCTCCTTTCTCTCATTACCACCCCCAAACATCTAACAATAACCCTACACCCAAGGTGTGGGGAACACTCACGCTTCTCTGAGTGCTGAGTGTGCAGAGTGCAGGCTGGCTCCTGGAACATGGAGCTGTCATGGCCTAGGTAGCCTGTGCAGGATGGCCGCAAGTACTTGGCAGACCCCGGACCTATGAGAACAGACAGAGCAATGCTCACTCTGGGCCCACAAGATCAGAGGCAGGAAGCCCCAAGTACAGTGCCCCATGAGAACTTCAGGGTCTTTGCTCCCACTGATGTCACACTACCACAAATCCGACCATCTAGCTGCTTCCTTGCACGAAAGGCAGTGTTCCCAGATAAATGTAATTTCCCTTGGATAGGCACTGCATAATAAAAAAGGTAATGGTTACAATTAATTGAGAACTTATTCTGTGCCAAGTAATATACTAAGCATTTTATATGAATTATTTCAGTTAAGCCTCCCAACAACTCTGTAATGTAGATACTATTATTTCTCCCATTTTACAGATGAGAAAACTGAGGTTTAAAAATATCAATTTGCCCAAAGTCACAAAAGCTGGTAATGTGAAAATTCTGAGACAATCAGCCAACTGAGCTCAAACATTTAACCATGCACTAAACCACCTCCCAAACAGCAATAATCAGTCATTAACAATGTAGTAAAAATTAATGTTTCTGCTTTCATTTGAGATTAAGGCTCAAGGGAAGGGGAGGGAGCTAAAGCTGGGTTAAAGGCTCCAATAAATCCGTAGCCTTTTTTTAAAGGTGGCTTCACTCCATGCCACATCCTCCCTTCCTTTCCTCCCCCCTGAAAATTCCCAGCAGTTAATCACTGCCTGCAAGGTTCAGCTTGGAGGCACACATCTTCTGTGGACTTCAAAGAGAGTCTGCAGGAGACAAGGCAGGAAGGCTGGGACACCTTCAGCAGCCCAGCAGAGAGAGAAATGGGTCCAAGCTCAGGGTGGGGTCAGGGGGCGTTCTGCTCTCACCTTTGATCATCGCCATGATCACAGGGGTCTGCTTCACCTCTTTCCATGAGGGAACCTGCACCTTCTTCTCTGGGTGCTGCCCATAGAACACAGAGTTCCTGGACCCTTTGGGCAGTTTCATGGCTGGAACCAAGCTCCAATAGCATCTAAGCAGCAGGCAAGGAGCTGAGCTGGTGTGGGGCTTATTCCAGGTTCCCCTGCCCAAACTCCTGAATCCACTCTTCCCCACTCCAGAGGTGTTGTGGGGGCTGAGAAGGAAGACAGTACTCCAGCTTGAGCAGCTGAGATAGTCTAGGGTGCAGCAAGCCACAGGGCTCAGGAGACAGGACCTGGAGATGACATCACTGCAGAACATAGATTGTGAAGCATGGTGTTTATTTCTGTCAGTTGCCATGGTGCCTGAACTGTGGCATAGAAATTCTATGCTAGCAGCTCAGTTGTAGAACCCTGAGAATTCCACCCAACCAGGCTATATTGCCTGAAGGGTCCCCAGGACACTGGGTCAGGGAAGGAAAACAGTGAAGTGGAGTGACAGAGCCAGATCTTCACTCCTGGTGGGTGCCCTAGGGGTGGGAAAAGGAATAGAAAGAATGGGTAGGTCATGGGTCAAGGGTTCCTGAAGCCTGCATAGCCCTTTAGGGTGACCCTTTACCTCCTGCCCCTCCTACCTATCCCTCCCTTCTATCAAAGTCTGTTTCCTTGGGAAAGGATAAAGCCAATTACTTCACACTAAGGTTCAATAGCTTTCCAGATTTTATCCCAAGGCCAGTATCTATAGAAATCTATGTCTAGCTCAAGGAATACTTGCCTGCCTGCTGGCATTTCAGGCAGGGAATGAGAAACAAATAAAGGAGGATGGAGGGGTAGTTCTGAGGCCTTAAGAAGCCACTTCCTGTGCCTGTGGTCAGGAGCACCCCTGGGTGGAGGGGAGTGTGAGAGAAAACATATGATTGATGTATGAGCCCCTGGGCAGAGGAAATGCTGGAGATCTCTTCACCCCTAAAATCCCAAGTTTTGGGGGGCTCAGGGCCTGCTTATACCAACCAGTTCATAGCTCAGATTGGATTTGGTGGGAACCAGGTAAGAGGGGTTTCTATTCTGGGAACAGATGACAACTGGCTTTAGAGAGGGTTTCTGTCACAACACCAGTACATAGATAAGGAAACTGAGACCCAAAAAAGAGAAGGACTTGCCCAAATTTTCTCCTCACATCAGTAGCGGAAACAGAACCACGACAAAACCCAGGGCTCTCTTTGGATCACAGCCTCTGATCTAATGGAAACCAAAATATGCTGAGCACTTATTCCCACCAGCAGGCACAATAAAGATGGGGAGTGGATCAGCCATACATGCTGGCATTCCAAAAGCCCCTTGTCGGACCAGAAGGCTCAGAACAGATGGCAAAGTCCCACCCCAACAGCAGCAGAGCTGCCCATGCCCTCACATCACCTATGGAGTAGCCAAGCCTCTGATTTCTGGAGAGGTGAGGCTTGGCAAAGCGGGGATTGGCCCTACTTCAGTTCGTCTGGGGCCATGGGCAGTGCTGCTTCCACACCCCATGCTCGTCAGCTTTTCCTAGAGGAAGCTGTGAGCTTACTGGGCTAGAGCCCTGATGGCCTCATGCCAATAGGGGCCAGATGTGGGGCCAAGAGCTCCACCTTCTTGGTATTGGTGGGGAGGGAGGACGGGGGAGAAGTTTCCTGGTATTTCAACCCAGGGAGCCTTCCTTCCACTCCCCCAACCCACTACCACCTGCATTGCTCCTGGCTGTCATCCTTGTGCACAGCTCTCTTGGAAAAACTGAGCCGTTCTACAACCCTGCTTCTGCTTTGAATGCAGAAGCTCCCTTCCTTCCAGCTTTCACAGAGACTGGCTAACCCCTGGAGACAGACGTCCTCTCCAAAGCTTCTGTTCTGTCTCCGATACACCTGTCCCTTCGAGCCCAAGGTAAGGGTTCCTTGTCTCCTCAGTACCCACCAGGCAGTGTCTACTCCCTGTCAAAAGTGAGCTGAAAGCTCATGGCTCCTGAACACTGGATTTTCCTTTATGTCATCCACCCCATCTCCACTCTGGTCAGCTTGCTGTCTCCCTTTCCAGAGATCATTTCAAGCATGGTTCATCCCCTCTTCATGCCTGGTCCTCCCTCCAGCCCCTGTTCCACCTCCTCCTCAGCTAAGAAAAGGGAGGCCTCTCCCTGCCACACCATCAGAACCACCTGCTTCCACCATCACCTGCTCTCACTTCCTTCTGGGGCTGGGAAGGACCCTCTAAGACTCTCTCATCTCCTCTGCCTCCTCAAGAACATTTGCTCTCCATGGCTCCTCTCTCCGCTTTAACCCCTCATCGGACCACTTCTTAGCTCACTCTACATATCCATCTATCACAGACCATGTCCCTGGCCCTGCACACTTCATCACTACCTAGATCCCTCCAGTCCACAGCATTTCCCTGTTGTCTGTCCACACCTCCCTTTCATGCTTCGACTCTCCACAGGCTGGCTTCAGACTTCAACTATGATCTAAATGTGGAAGTTGCAACCAATGGACACTTTCACCCTTACCCAATTAACCTCTCAGCAGTACTGGACCAAACTGACTAACCATTCTCCCCTACTTGTAGCACCTCCTCCTGGTTCTAAGATTTCTGGACTTCCTTCCATGTCCCCATGTGCCTTCATAAGCTTTCTTCCTGGCTCTTCTTCCTCAACCAACCTTTCAATGTTGGCACATGCTTATTAATTACAAAGGGAAACAGTAGCTTTATAGAGAGAATCCTGGCAGGTAGCACATCAACCAAGTAACATAAGTTAACATCATCCACAATGAGACAGAGAGGTGTTGTGTGCCTCCAGAAAGGGTGCACTGAGGACACAGCATCTCTTCTGGGCTGTCCCCACCAAAGATACATAACCTGAACCTAATTATGAAGAAACCAGATAAAGTCAAATCAAGATTCACTTTACAAAATAACATTTCTGAAATGTCATGAAAGACAAAGAAACACTGAAGAACTTTTCCAGATTAATAAAAACTCCAGAGATATAGCAACTAAGTGCAACATAGGAGCCAGAATTTTCCTTTTGTGGACAAAAGGGATCACATGCTAACCTGACAAGCTCAGGGAAGGCCTGCATGGCGGTCTTGCAAACTCAGAGACCTATAGTAACCACAAAGGATGGTCTGAAATTAAACTTTAACTAAAAGCAGTTACGGTGGATAGTTATGTACGAGGCTGGTATCTTCACTAACAAGGTCAATCTTTACCTTAACTGAGCCTAGACCCCACCACCACCCCACCACCACTACCACCACCACCACCCCCTCTCTAGTCTATCACCAATGGACTTCAGGTAACCCACCTACATCTCTTCATTTGATTGCAATGTATAAAAAGAGAGGAAAACCCGCCATTCTCCAGAGCACTATCCCAATCCATTGAGATATTGCTTCCCAGCAATTGTCAACAGTTTGGCTCAAATAAACTCACAAAAATTCTTTACAGGCTTGAATGTTTTTTACATTAACACTCTGCTATCAAGGATGTTATTGGGAACATTGGCAAAACTAGAAAAAACGTCTGTGGCTAGTTAAAGGTATTGTACCAATGTTAACTTCCTGATTTTGTTTGCTATACTCTGATTGTGAAAAAGACGGTCCTTGTTCTTAGAAAATACACACTGAAGTATTTAAAGATAAAGGAGCAGCAGTATGTCTGCAACTTACTCTCAAATACTAATAGTTCAGGAAAATATATGCATGTACATAGAAAAGAATTGAAAATGTGGTAAATATTAACCTCTGGGAAATCTAGATGAAGGGTATGTGAGAAATATTTATAATGTTCTTGCTTCTTTTCTGGAAGTCTGAAATTATGTCCAAAAAAAAAAAAAAAGATGTGGGGAGAAAAAAAAATGTTGGTGTGTCAGAGTTCAGTCCTGGGGCTTCCTGTCATTTGCCACTACACTCTTCTTGTCTGAGTAGTCTTATCTTCTCTTGTTGCTTAAGCCCCATTAACTGTACCCCAACAATTCCCAGATATATGCTTCTGGCCCAGACTATTTTAGGGGCTTTAGGCCCACATATCTGACAGCCTGCACAGCATCACTTAGTTTTCTCACAAGCATCTCTAAATCAACATCCCAAAGCTTTTCCCATGGGATGCCCCTGCCACCCATTTATCTCAATGAATGGTATCACCATCCATCCAAGTGCCAACACTAGAAAATTGAGTTTGTCCTATACATCTCACTTGTCCCTACTCCCCATATCCAACAATCACCAAGTGACTTGGGGAGTCTGTGAGCTCCCAAAGGCAGGGTTTCTGTCATTTACTCTTGGGTCCCCAGCCCCCAGCATAGTACCTAACATTTCTCTAGTGCTTGAGAAATATTGTTGAATGAATGAATGACTCTATTCATTGATTGATCAAGGAAACATCACTCCTCCTCAAAGAAGCAGAGTTCTACTCTGTGAGTCCCAGACACATTTCCAATCTGGCTCACTGGACTACCATTTACAGTTGTACAGGTTTGTATCAGCTACCTTTTGCTGCATAACAAAACTGTCTTCAAAATCTAAGGCTGGCCCTAGCCGGTTTGGCTCAGTGGATAGAGCATCGGCCTGCGGACTCAAGGGTCCCAGGTTCAACTCCGGGCAAGGGCATGTACCTTGGTTGCGGGCACATCCCCAGTAGGGAGTGTACAGGAGACGGCTGATCGATGTTTCTCTCTCATCGATGTGACTTGGGGAGTCACATCGATGTTTCTGACTATGCCTCTCTCTTCCTCTCTGTAAAAAAATCAATAAAATTTTTTTTTTAAAGAAAAAAAATCTAAGGCTGTTTCTGTAGGTCAGGAATTTAAGAGTGGCTTAACTAGATAGTTCTGGCTCCAAGTCAAGATGTGGCAGTCAAGATGTCACAAGTAGAGGAGAAACCAAGATGACAGCATAGGTAAACACCGGAGATTGCTGCCTCACACAACCACTTCAAAAATACAACTAAAAGATGGAACGGACATCATCCAGAACCACAGGAAGGCTGGCTGAGTGGAAATTCTACAACTAGAAGGAAAGAGAAAAGCATACTGAGACTCAGAGGAGGTGCGGTGCGGAAGTAAAATACAAAGGTGAGGAGGTGCATGCGGAGAGGGCTGGCGGCTGAGGACATGATTGTCTTTTTCAATCGGGAGGGCGGCTCAGGCTCTGAGCTCCA